AATTGTTCATTTTTATTTACTGACCATAACAATACAAAGCTGGTTGAAAATTGACAACGTTATCCTTTTAAGAGAGTTATATTTAGGCTAAATTTGCAACCCTGATTCCTGCCATGTTTTGTTTAAATTAATGTTACTTTTATTTAATGTTTGTCTATAAAACAGTCATGTTTTTTTTTTTTTTTTTTTACTATATTCAAATATTTTGGTAAAAATTGAAGAGTAAAATTTTGGTAAGAGGTGAACCAATACTGATACAAATAAATAGGAAAATGTAGTAAATTTTGAAATCATTTTGTTTTGTCTCTCTCTGTTTTAGATGGACTGACGGTGTCATGTGATATATCTAATGATGAGGAGTTGTTTATGGGTCAGGGAGATTATCAGTTTGAAATCTACCGTCTAATGAAGAAAGAAAACAAGTATGTGCTTTAGCCTTAGACAAAACTTATTTAAAATTATTTCATTCTAAACCACTGAATGATTGATTCTCATTGTTTTTCTCATTTTCTCTGTCTCAGTAACTGCTGGTCCAACTATAATCCTCATTCCAACGTGTTGTGGCTGCACTATCTGGCTGATAAACTGTTGAGCATGAAATATAAGAGCAAAGCCCAGAGCAACCAGCAGAGGACACTGAAGAGCGCCCTCAAATCTTTCCAGTCAGAGATACTCAATTGTCCGTCAGCTACAGAAGCTCTTATGAACTGCAAATTATTTCAGTGAAACGTTTGTTTTAATTAACACAATAGATAGACCTGTATATTTTGAATGACCAGTCCAGGGCAAGTACAGTATTCTAATGTTCTGTGAAAAGATATTAAAAACAAATAAAGAAAATGTGCAATCATGCAATTTAAAAAAACAAAAATATGTAATTTATTGATATACATTAATTATCTTGAAATAGTTACAGTTTTGGCATAGTATGGCAAAACCAGCTGTTCTTGCATTCTCATTTATGTTTATTAAGAAAAGTCTCAGCATTCCACACCACATTTCCAGCAATCCAGAATTGGCAGTTCATTTTTATAAATTAATAGTTGTCCATGTTGGATTTGCTGCAGACCTGTTCAGTTTTTTTTTTTTT